AAATTTATATGGAAAAATATTTAGCTGGATCTGCCTTGGATTGTTTCCAAGGCAGCTTCAAGCCATCGATTAACACTATAACAATCACAAAACATTACAGTAATTTGCATTTAATGTAACGTCCAGGCAATGGTGTAGGAATGACCTTCAGTGCGATGGGTGCGATGCAAACAGGAAAGGCTTTGGAAAAGGACAATCTTGTGCTTTTTTGCATCTCTTCATTTCAAATACCTTTTGTTTCCGTGCTTGTCACTTTTTGACAGTTACGAAATTGGGGAACTTTGTGGTTCCAAACCCAAGAGTAGCTCAGTTCCTAGCAGAACGGTCATTTGCATCTTTTCCATTGACTGAGAAACCAGGAATCTTTAGTAGAACTCTAGGTCCATTTTGTCCTCTTAGGGTCTGCTGGGTGATGGACACTACAGGCTGGCAGTGCAGCAGCCGCCGCGGGTGGGAGCAGAGCTGCTCCTGCAGGAAGCCCTGCTCTGTGCAGGGTGGATGGATGGCAAACTTGGCTTGACCCCGTGCTAATGAAGGTCCCGTTCATGTCACGTAACATCCACTCCCGAGGGGGCTGCTGGTGCCACAGAGGGGTGCTGGAGCTGCAGGTGGCCCCTCTCCGAGTGCAAACCAAAGTACCTTTCCACGTGAGGTGCTTGTCTGAGTTAAAGGTTTCAAATGCTACTGCTTTCAGTATTGCTTAGTGCCCCCAACATGTCTGGTGTGCCTTATGCCTTACTTTTAGATGAAGATTTTATGAACTGTTTACAAGATGTTTTACAGCAGGACCAGGTATACTGTATGCAGTGGTCTTCTGCAGTACTTGGGTAAAATTCCATTTCCTTTTTCAAAGTCCCAGTGTCTGTCACACAAACTGACTCATCGTGGTGGTCTCCTTCCCCAGAGTCCAACTCTGAATCCTTTGGAGTGAGATTGTGGAATGCTGCTTTGTTTTCTCTCCCATCGAACCCTTTATTCTGTACCAGATATGAACGTGCATGTTCAGGAAAATTATTGCACTAAATTTTTTGTGTAGGTGTAGTTAAGTGCCAAAATCACGGCAACCTCGAGAGAAGGAATAGAATTCTACGCTCCTTAGTACTGCAGTATGTCCTATGGGCTTTAAGAGTTTAGAAGTTTTGCAAATTAGTAACCTACTACAAGGTAGCTGCATCTTCGTAGAGCTTCCTTTGCGTCCCAGCGTGTTTTGTACTTCCAGAAAAGCTTTGCTACGTCCGGATTGATAAACGGGGAACAGACCTGGGGCTCTCCCTGACTCGACTCTTCAGGTCTGTCGGAGCATCCTTTTTATGGAATCACTGTGCAAGGTCACCTTTCTGTTAGTCTTTGCTGTTGGAGACAGAACTCTGTACCCTCAAACTCCCCGCCGTGGGCATGGGACACTGTCAGCTGTGTTTCCTTTCCTCCTCTGAAGTGCCTCGCACACCTCTGACGCTGAGAAATCCCTTGGTAGAAGTTGCATTCGTGGGTGGGTTTGTGTGTAGTGCTGCACTAGCCAGCGTGGCTGTTCTTGGCTTGCTCCTTTGTGCACAGTCACCATTGCTGTCAGCAGGAATGGTGTCATCTCGGGGAATTTTTTTTCCTTAACTAGAGTCCCACAAATACCTTTTGGTGTCACGCGAAATCGGCCCCTTGGAAACGCATCACTTATCCCTAGAGCAGTGGATCTTAGAAATTGGCTTCAAACAACCAGAAGGCTTTTTTAGTGTCAAAATGTGGACCTGAGCTGGTTGGAAGTGTCCCAGCTGAAGGGTGAGCTCCATGGTGGCACGTCTCTGGAGTGTTGTGTCCGTGCGGGGGATCCGCAGGGGCTTGGGCATGGATAGGAAATGCCTTGTGCAGCTGGGGCTGGTGCAAACAGATCAGCTCAAACCTCGCAATGCCAAAAGCATATCTTCATTTGGGATTGACCCTTGTTTCCGTGAGGAAAGTTCTGTACTTGATCAGATTTTATAGCCAAAAAAAAAAGCAAATAAGTCCTAGGCTTCCATCCCTCTGCCGAAGCAGGAGGGCTCTGTCCCTGTCCTGGGCAGCTCCAGCACCACAGGGGGAGTGCAGGTCACAGGAGTGACTGAGGAGGGACTCCCCAGTCCTGGCTTCCCAAATGATTCCCTGGACAGGGAATATGGATCAATACATATCAATGCTGTAATTTTAATTCCCTTGCTGATCATGGCCCCAGTTGGTGAATCTTACAAATGGCTCAATCAGACTAGGCTTGCTCAGCTATCTGTGCTGTTTGACTTTGCTCTCAGACTTGCAGGTTCCAGGTGATAAAGGTGCAAACCATTTATAATTCCAAACAAATCTTCAGGAGCCCAGAGTAAACCAGCCCAAGAGTTTTGTTTTGATTTGAATCTCAGCCATAAAGCAGAGCAGACGGATGGCTCTCCTTGGCTTCGATGGCAGTATGCAATTTGTATTGTATGTGTCTTTTAATATATATGTATATATATATGACTCAGTCTGTCCAAAGTATATGTTATACTTGTTTTTAGATTATGGTGCAACTGACTATATTGATATATTATTTATTGAGTGCTGAGTCACCATCTTATTGGTGATAAATATTGCATATTATCCAGGAGTGCAATGTATATTCCTTTAGATTGCTGAGGCTTGATTGCTGTGGTAACAAAAAATGCCCTGAAATGTATTTATGAATGGCCCCAACACACAGAGAGTCAGAATTTATGGGAATGATGTAGCACTTGCCTGGGGCAAGTAAAATAAAGCCGTAGGCAGAGAATTACGGAGTTTGCCCAAAAGGCAAACTGCTGGAGAGAGAGAGAAACTACCTTTGCTGTATTTAATGTCATTTTCTGAACAGATCTTTGCTGTCACTGCAGTGTTTCCATTGAGGCAGATCCACAAGGGCCTGAGCAAGTCAAGTTTGAATTACCCATTGGGGAGTAAACAACTTCCAAATTCTTACCTTCACAACAAATCCTTGGGTCGGGGTTGAACCTTCTCCCTGTGCTGTGTCAGTGTTCTGGAAAACCCCTGTTCCCGAGCAGTGGGGTCAGTGCTGGGCATCCTGAGGGACAGAGAGGAGCCAGAGCTCTGCTCAACTCCCCCAGCTGCAGAGCTGTTCAGGAGGGGACTCCGAGCAGGAGGTGTCGGTGGGCTCCTGCTGTGTGCCAGGCTTTGGGGCTGGGGTGCCCCTGGGGAGGGAAGGGGTCCAGGCTGGGCTCCCCTGGCAGGTCAGGCTCAGCCCTGGCAGCAGGGGAGCAGCTCCAGCTGCTGAGACATCTCACAGGGAGCTGGAGAGCCCGTGCTCCCCTGGTTCCATCCCACCTGGAGCTGAATTCCTGGGCTGTGTGAGCTGAATTCCTGGGCTGTGTGAGCTGGATTCCCCAGGCTGTGTGAGCTGGGCTCTGCTGTGCCCGTGCTTCCCCTGGTTCCATCCCGCCTGGAGCTGAATTCCTGGGCTGCGTGAGCTGGGCTCTGCTTCGCCCGTGCTCCCCTGGTTCGATCCCACCTGGAGCTGAATTCCTGGGCTGTTTCCCCCTTCCTGGGCCAGCCTGCCTCCAGTCCCCAGCCCTGTCCCAGCTCCTGGCACTGCCTTGGCATTCCACATCCCAAACTCTACTCCAAGGACCAGGCATGACTTTCCAAGCACAGTTCCTGACATTTGTATCTGGTCCCCCTTTTAAATTGTTTTAAAAAAATTTTGTATATGGAGGATAAAGTGCTTATATATTTATTAAAAATCCTTTATCTTATTTGAAACTATTATTTGGTGAAGATGGGGTTTTTCTTTTGGGGGAGGGCTGGGGAGGGGAGGTAACTTTTAACCTGTCACTTATAAATGAAGCCCTGATTAATCCTACAGAAAGGTACTATTAGTAACTAATGGGATGTCTCTGTTTTATGCTTTGTACATGACAAGTCCATGTGTTACATTTTGTTTTCTATCAAAAGATTTGGGCATCTGTCTTCAACCAAAACCAGAAAAAATAGAAACAAACTGTGATTTTATTTGTTGCAATACATTTGAAATTTCAAAGGGTACTTTGGGGCTCAAAATTAGGATTTCTAAGTCAGTATGTGCATTTCACGTAATAAAGCTGTTAATGGTGAGCAAAGTATTATATACTAACTAGATTTTTTCCACATCTGTATAGTATATTCTATGTATTTTGTGGTATTGAGATTATAGAAAGTTTAGTGTCTGAAACATGCGTTTAATGTGTATTTTTAAACAAATTTATGGCAATTAAAATATTTGGAGAAAAGGGTATCACATTTCAATTTGTAAAGATCTTTTTAACTACTGTGTCATTAAAATGCTTTGTACAATGCAAAACTGTAACTGGAGAAACTAAGTTTAATAAATATCAAATAGATTTTCTGTATTAAACTTCCAACCCCCTGTGCTTGTATCTGTTTTGTGGGGCCTTCTCCTCCTGGAAGTGCATTTTTAGGCAGAATTTCATTCCTTGTTCCTATTGCTCTGTGAAACAAAAGAAAAGTAGCATCCAGTGTGTGTGTCCAGACTTGTTGATATTTTTTTTTGTCTTTCAGCCTCCACGTCAACATCCAACACATCAAAACAACATTTTGATCAATTCATTTTAAGACAGGAGAGAAGGTCAGTGGCAAAAGTCAGTCTAGGACATGTATTTAAGTAAATTTGATTAGAAATAATTAAAAGTAAATAGTTCTCGTTCCACTTCTTGCTGGATATATTTGGGATATTGGAATTGCTATCAGGATTATCAGTTTGGCTCCCTCTTTTCAACAGGCCTTTATCAGAGAGCTGATAAGATTGGGAGGGGATGGGGCCTGATCTACTTTATGCTCCTGCCAGGGGGAAGGAGAAACATCCAAAGTCTGGCTGGAACTGAGCCCCAGCTCTGTGCTCAGCATCCACTTTGCTCGAGATACAAGGAAAACCAAGCTGCTTTGCTGAATATATATTTTAATTCACACTTCAAATAAATAATAGGAAGCATTACAAAAAAACCAAACGAGGAGGAGATGCAGAGCCCTTTTATTGAGCTTGGCCAGAGCCTCCAGAGGCGTGGCTGGGGAGGAGATGCTCTCGAGCTCCTTGAAGTCCTTTCATCAGCACATGTGACAGAAATATTAAATACTCTGCTTGCTGGAGGCCCTTGCAGCTCCCGAGCAGTCAATAAATACATCCCAAGTGTGTGGAGCATGGTGAGCAGTAACAGTGCAGGCTGTGCTTGGTGCCAGCTCACGCCGAGGCCGTGGAGAGGAGGCAGCGGTTCTTCCTGGGGAGAAAAACCCTCGTGAGGCACTGGGGCTGGGGCTGCCCTGCCAGGCTCAGCCTGGGCTGCCAGGTACGTCTGTGCCAGCACTGCTGGCCTCAGCCACTCTGTGGTCCCCTCAACTACTCAGCCTTAATTCAGTTTTTGGTCTTTGTTTTCCATCAGAATTCCAAACATAGTATAGCACCCCACCCTGTCCTACTTACTTACTTATCCTGATAATTTTTAATACAAAATAAGCTTATTTATAATAATATTCATTGATAATAGGATACACCTATAGTATATTATCTCTATATTATTATATACTATACTATATATAGTATATCATATTCATAATAGGATGTACTTATCTTTTACTGCTGTTTACATATAGTACAAAATGGCTCTTTTCTATCTTGTCTGAGTGCTGGTGTGTGTACACAGCAGGTGCCATACAAAATCAACTTTCAGTCATTAAGTAATAATTTTAACTAATCAATTTATAGGTAGTTGGACAATTTGCTCATGCCTAATGAGAACTGAATAGCTTTTGATGTTGTAGTTGCTTTTTAAACTATGAGCTTAAGTAACACCTTAAAGTGATTAATTTAGGGTAAGATATCAATACAGGCTTTTTACTTGTCATCAGTACATGGTTTAGAAGGGAGGATTAATGGGAAGGTCTATAAATTGCCTAAAAGGTCTATAAATTGCCTAAAAGCTGTCTGGAGCCCTGTGTTCTCTTTGCCCAGCCAGGTTATTTGGGGTTGCAGTGAAAGGACTGGGGCTGGCACTCGGGAGAGCTGGACTCTGCTCTGTTTGCTCTGCTTACTAAAGACTCTGTTACCCCATCCCTATTCCTGGTATCTTTTTTTGTGCACAGAGTGACCTCTGGACCCCGCGTGGAGGAGCCCAGGTGGGAGCTGCTGCGTGCTTACCTGCAGAGCATGGTGAGGCACTCGCTGTTGTCCCTGCACGAGGCCCCGATGGGTCTCAGGGACACTCCTCTCCAGAAGGGCGTCATCCGCCGCTGCCGGGGGCTGCGGGGCTGCGGCTGCCGCGGGGACAGGGACACGCCGTGGCTCTGAAACACAGCAGGGTGGGCGTCAGCACACGGGGCAGTGCAGCGCGCCCTCGTCCTGCTGCTCAGCTCAACAGCCTTCGTTTCAAGTGAAGCACTTGAAATCTCTCTGGTTTCCAGATGGCAGCACCCTCTGGGTGAAGCACAGCTTGCAGCCTGACCCCAGAGAAATATCTACCCAAATTAATGATGGTTTCCATCTTCTTGGGAGTGAAGGCAGGATCACTGGCTGAGCTGTGGCTCAGAGCAGCCCAGTATTCACTAGGCAGTAACTCTGCATTTTTATGATGTTGAATCCTCTAAAAAGCCCTGCTGTCATGTCTTAGCTCCTGCCAGTTTTCCATCCAAATCATAACAGCTTTTGTGGACTGCCTGTCCTTTGAATAGCCCTTTAAATAGTTTATTTCAGTATGGTCTCAGTTTACCTGGCTGAGCAGCAGTGAGCAGAGCAGAAGGGCTGCCATCACTTTCCACCAGTGCATCTTCCCAGCAGGAGCTGTCCCTGGGAGCAGCCGTGGGCAGAGGAGGCACAAAGAGCTCCAGTCAGGACTTCCCAGGCTGTCAGCTACATTTTTATAGACTTCATTCTCTTATCGTTGCATCAGCTGCCCGTTATTACAGGAGCAAAGTTCGCTTTGGAGCAAGAGGGAATTGCTAAGTCTACATCTGCTGCAGCGATCTGGTTCAAGGCCTGACTCGAGCTAATGATTTACTCCCCTTCCACTTGTACTTTGTCTGGTCAGTTGTGCTGACCCCTTGTGCCAGCTGTTCCTTTTTTTAAAGCCCTCCTAAGATGTTACCAGAACTCCATGGTCTATTTGTAAGCAAAAGGGGGGGTGGCCCAAATTATTGTGGTAAAGATCAAAAGCTTAATTTAACTTCTGTAGCTCTGAGTTAGCCAACCAGGGGTAAGGGTTGTCTTGCCAAGCTGATTTGGAGCAGAGAATTGTGCTTTTGATTTGTTTCTCACTGTTGGTACATGAAAGAACCATAAGGAAGTTGCTTAACCTTTATTTCCAGGCACACAGTGCTCAAAAAGCAGGTGTAACATTTTCCAGCTGGGTTTGGGAATGCAAAACGTGTGATAACTCACAGAGCTCTTCCCCAGGAATCCCAAGGTGTCGCAGATAATCATCTCTGGGTAGATAATGGACGAGGCTGCTCAGGGCTTGTCTGGAGCTGAGGAGCTCCATGTGCAACTGTGGTTTCATGGATGAGCCATCTCTGCCCCGAGCTGTGTCACTCACCATCGGGCTTCCAGGAGTGCCAGCAGCTCCCACGGGGGTGGAGGGGCTCATTGCCATGGAGAGGAAAATGCAGTTTTTCCATTGTGGAGTGAGGTTGCAGCAGCAGAGACAGGTGTGAGCACAGCTGGTACCTCTCATCTCCCCTCTGCCTACACACTTGTGCTGGTCCCAGCGTCTGGTGGCTCCTCACCTGCGGGATCTCGTTGGATGGGGCTTGGAGCAACCTGGGCTAGTGAAGGTGGGGAGAACTGCCAGAGCTTTTAAGGGCCTTTCCAACCCAAAGCACGCTCTGGTTCTGTCTGGCACCCATGTCTGTCAGGTCAAGACATCTGAGAGTGCAGAGTGACATAGAGAATTCCAGCCTGTGTCACTGTGTGCAGCTTTTAGAACACACTGTTTGAATTCAAGTAAATATGATTACTTTATTAAATTACTATATAATTACTTTACTAAATTACTTTATAAAGTAGTAAGTGTATAATGAACTGTTTTAGCTAAATTGTAAATACAGATCTGGATGTCACAGGCTCTATTTCTCTGATTGCTTAATGTGAAGGCACAAGTGCCAGCGTGGAGGGCAAGTGACTTAGATTAAGATAATGCAGCGATGTCAGATGATTACCCCTTAGCCCAAATTTCCCTGGGATGAAAAGAAAAACCTTCCCAGCACAGTGTATAACACTATTTGATCATTCCCATCATAGGATGGTTCTTACACACCTTCCTCTGCCCTACTTGTTTTGCTTCTCTGGGAGGAGGAAGCAAAATTTTCGTTATTTCACCTTCTTGGATCTTAAGAAGAGAAGGAAATAGGACAGTAAATCATGGCGGACAAGTAGCTGAATTTTAAAAGTTTATTTTATATTTGGGTGGGAATTTCTCAGTTGTGTTTCCCGTGGAGTCCTTCCTTTTCATGTAACTGAGTTTAATTTCTGCTGTTTCCATCAGGCACTAGTGTAGAACACAAAGGAGGACAAGCAGCAGGAGCAGGAGCCCTGACTACGTCCATGAAGCACAGGGTTTGGAAGAGCAGCAGAGCCCTCTGTAAGTCATCATCTCTCAGCTTTGTTGGCTGGGGAAGGCTGGTACTTTGTGATGATAGATCAGAATTATTGTCTGTCCCTCTGGGTCACTAATAGCATCAGATTGTCCCTGTCAGGCAGCAAACTACTCTGTGCAAGAAACTGAGAAAAAAAGAGTGTAAGTGAGCTGGTCCTTTCCATGCCCTCAATTCCCGCAGGCCAGTACGACACCACAGCAGAGATGTGAGAAAATAAACACAATATGTTGCTCTGTTGCCACTTCTAATAATCGCCCAAAGGAGAACAGAAATAAGTGAGTGAAAACTTCTCAAGCACATTGTTCAGATTCTGAAATGCCCATGGGTCGAACTCCCACTGGCACAGGGCTGGCAGGAGCCATCCCAACTGGGAATGGGGCCTGCATCCGAGGTGGAGGCTGGCAGGGCAGGGTTGGGAGGGGTGGGCACAGTCACAGGATGGCAGGGCAGGGTTAGGAAGGGTGGGCAGGGTCACAGGATGGCAGGGCAGCGTTAGGAGGGGTGGGCAGGGTTGGGAGGGGTGGGCACAGTCACAGGATGGCAGGGCAGGGTTGGGATGGCTGGGCAAGGCCAGGATGGGGCAGAGGCTGGGCAGGGGAGGCTGGGCAGGGTAGCAGCAGGCTGCAGGTGGAGCAGCCGGGCGCTGACCCTGTCCCTCGGCGCTGCCCGTGCCTGGCGCGTGGCCGCGGTGCCACTGCCCCTCTGTTTGCGTTAGTCTGGCCCCTGGGCCAGGCACAGTTCAGCCGTCTGTGAGCAGGAGCAGGGACCTGGCAGAGCCCCGGGCAGTGCTGGGGCAGCACTCGCTGACAGGGCTGCTGAGGCACCGCTTCACGGGGGCTGTCACTGAGGCCAGCAGCTCTGCGGCAGGACACCACGTTCTGAATGAGACACCTCAGGGACAGGGACTGTTATACAGGCACAGTGACAGACAAACTGCCAGAGGCAGCTGAGATGGGATATTGGGAATCGTTCCCTGTGAGGCCCTGACACACATTTCCCAGAGCAGCTGTGGCTGCCCCTGCATCCCTGGCAGTGCCCAAGGCCAGGCTGGACAGGGCTTGGAGCAGCCTGGGATAGTGGAAGGTGTCCCTGCCATGGCAGGGATGGCACTGGATGGGCTGAGGTCTCTTCTGGGATAAATCTGCCTCTGTACATCTCTGCCAGCTCACAGCCACAGCAGCCAGTTTGTTGCCCCTCACTTGCTTAAGCTGCCTAGAAAATACCAGTGACCCAAAATGCAGCTAAACCTGGGATATTCTGGGGACAACTTGGGAGCACTGGCTGATTGATTTTATTGCTACTTATGCCAGCCTCAGGCAGTGCTTGGAGGAAACACAAGAGGCTGAGCTGTCTCACGTGCTCTGATCCCCAAAATACTCCAGCACTGAGCTATAAAAACTGCATCGCCCCAGCTTCCTGAACTGAGAGCCTGAGCATCATTGTCTTCCTGACAGCCCAGCCCTGAGCACACAGGGAAACGTCATTCCTGCCGTGCAGATAAGATAAACTCCCAGGACAGCTCCAGGAATAGCACGGCAGGAACACCAACGTGTTGCTCTGCATGGGATGGGAGCTGGAGGAAAGTCAGAGGAACATTGGGAGGGAAAATTTAGGATAAAGGAACCAGCCAGGTGTTCTGAGCTTCCAACAGTGGAGGTGTTTCTATACTCAGAGACACAAGGTGAATTTGTCACCCTGTGTCAAGTTTATTAGCAGCAGCTGATTTTTTAATCTTCAGGCATTAAACAGTCTTGCTTCTCCTGGCAGTTTTCAAGTAGGTTCTGATGCAGTCTCTTACCACTGATCAGATACAGGTGTAGTTAATTACCCAATTAACATTAGCATAACTAGGTAATGAGAATCACAGGATCAGAGAACAGCCCAGGTTGGAAGGGACCTTGGCAGATCAGCTGGTGCAGGCATTTGTGGGAAGGGAGCCCAGAGGAGGTTACCTGGCACCCCGTCCAGTCACCTCCTGAAACCCCAGGCTGTTCCAGGGACAGATTGTTCTCACTGGAAAAAATTCCTTTGTTACACAGAGATGAAACCTCTCGTGGTGCAGCCTGTACCTGTTCCCTTCATCCTCTGCCCGGGGCTCCCGTGAAGAGCGAGCCTCCAGCCAGGGGTCAGGGTCCATCCCAAATCCCAAGCCACCAGCCAGCCCATCCAGCTTTAATCAATACCAGCCCAGGGAGTGTTTGTTTTTCACAGATCTCAAGGCTGAAGGAAAAGCAGCAGCCAGTGATGGGAAAAATAAAGGGGACAAGGAACAATTTCAAACCAGCCCCTGCTGCACTTTATACTGAGGAATATTTCAAAGAAACAGGAATTACCAAGGCTGGAAGTGCTCTAAGATAAAACATCCGAGCACATGGAACTTCAGCCTGATTATCTGCCTGTACAGAGAGAACCAGACGAGGGATTTGGTGCTCCTCACCTCAAACAGCTCGAGACACGGATTTCACACAGAGTCATGGGGCAAAGTTACACTTTATTAGCCAAGGCTTATCTGCCCGTTAATCCCCTCCAGCCATGGGAACAAGCACAGCAGGTCCCGGGGAGCTCCGGAGCCTCGTGGGCACTGTCACTGCTCCTGCTCACTGGTCGTGCTCGTAGTCAGCCGGGTTCTTCCTCTTGAGCCGCTCAAACTCCTGCGTGCCCCACGAATAAATCAGGTAACCGAGGGCTAGAGCTGGCAGGGACAGAGGACAGGCACGGTCAGGGGACACCACAGCGAGGGGACACTGCTAGAAAGGGACACTCCATCAAGGGACAGTGGAATGAGGGGACACTGCTAGAAAGGGACACTCTCCATCAAGGGACAGTGGAATGAGGGGACACTGCTCTAAGGGAATAATGCAGTGAGGGGACACTGCACTGAGGGGGCACTCACAATAAAGTGGCACACGATGCAGTGATGGAACACCTACAAAATTCACTGCAGGGAGGGAACACCGGAATAAGGGGATTTCACCACACGGGGACACTGGAATAAGGAGATTTCACAACACGGGGACACTGGGAGAATGGAATATTCACAATAAGGGGACACCGCAGTGAGGGGACACCGCACCGCGCTCAGCACCTCCCTCCTGAAACCCACACCCTGCCCCAGTGCTTCCCCCTCCCCACATTTACACTGCGAAGGGGGTACAAAAAAGAATAAATCCCCCTGTACTCACGGGGCACCACCTTCAACACCTGGGAGGCGAAGCGGCGGCCCACGTTGGGGACGCCGTGCGACAAGACATTGGGGAAGGCTTGCTGC